ATGAAAAGGCACTAGAATATGTTGTACACATTGAAGGGTATCCGAAGGATGCACTATAAGTTAACTGAATCACAGGTGTAATGTTAGTAATGAAAGTTGGAGCAAGTTTGATCTTTAGTAATTTTCATTTTGGTTGTGACACCTTCTCCTTTGGATAAACATCATGAAATATTTTGAGTTTATGATTAGTATAATCACTTTTAGAATGTAGTGTTATACTCACATGCACCAAATAAAAATAAAAAAAATATCCTGTAGGGGCTAGTGTCATGGTGCAACAGCCTAAGCTGCTACTTGAGATGCCATAATTCTGTGAGTGCTGGGTTGAGCTCTAGCTTCTCCACTTCTGATGCAGTTCCCTAATGACAAACTTAGGTAAGCAGTGGAAGATGGCCAAAGAACTGGGGCTTTTGCCTCAGATGAAGCTCCTAGCTGACGACTTGGTCTGTCCCAGCCCTAACTATTGTGGCTAGTGAACAGAAGATAATGATTATAATAAAAAAGAAAAAAACAGACTGTGATACGATAGCACTTAAGCAAGTTGTTCAGTATTGCAACATTTTAGCATTAAAAACATAATCCTTTTTATGTATGTTTCATTTTAGTATGTGAAGTCAGAAACAGTATTCTACAAAAGGTGGTATAACTTTCTAATTCACAATAACAGCAAGAGAAGGTTCCCTTTTTCTCTAAAAAAGATAATTCACCTGCTCTCTAAATTTTTGAGGTTAGTGTAGTTTTTGAGTCTCCTTGCAATAGTTTTGGCTCACATAGCAGGGCGTAAAAATCATCCTTTATTCATCTTAAAAATTTTATATCTCTCCTAGAAATTTCCTGAAAAATAACAGCTAATACCTGTTGAATGCTTTCCGTGTTGATATTATAGTAATATATAAGAACTACCTCATAGGAACATTCTGAAAACTATGTTAGATAAGCAATGTTTTTGTCTCTTTCCAATGGATAATAAAAATCCATGTGCCCAGAACTAGAGGATGGGGATAAGGCTCTTAGAAGTATCTCTAACTGTAGAGTTCGAGTTCCTAACCTGATATTGCTTCCAGAGTACTAAATGAGACCTGTTGGCATGTTGAGATAGCTTTACATCCTCCTCATAGGTTTTGTGCATTATAAGAAGCAACTTCTGTCTTATTTATGCTGTATTTTACAAATGCATTAAAATTAAAATATTCAAGAGATGAAGTAGATAAGCTAGACCCCCTTTTTAAGTAGTGGGATAACCATGATTTTTGACAATATAAAGGTACTTGAACAATGAAATTAGGAGTTTATTTTGGTGCCAAAATGTTTTGAAATCCATGCATAGTATTCTCATAATGTGCATTTTATGAAGTTTTTGAAGACTTCTTATGTGCATGGACTTGAAATCATGTTGACAAGGAGTGTTCAAAGTTCATAGAAAATGTGTATTATAAACAAATTAAGTATGAATTTAAACCTTTATTTTTGTATTCCCAAAAGTTTGTCTTTTAATTGTATTTTCCTTTGAGTTCTCTGAAGTTTATAGTAAGACCTCAGATTCATTTGCCGCTTGATTCAGTTCTTATACCATTAAGGCTTCAATGCCCATTGCCTTGTACAAGAGCTAAATGGGATGTGGGACAGACTGAACAAGTCTGTTGTACATAGTGGCAAACATGGGAACCAAGGTAGAGGGCAGGCCTGGTGGGAGTTATGGGGAGTTGCCTCGACTAGGCTACAGCTCCCACTGGTTTGCGTGAGGACTGAGTATGAAGTGGGCAGGATCGGGTTGGACTGCAACACTCATTGGTTCATGTGGAAGACAGGGCTGGAAACAGAACTGACCCAGCAGTTGCAACCACCAGCATGTGCATAGGCTGATTGGGGAGACAGACCGGGTCAGACCCTGTACTGGCAAGCACGCACAAGAATCAGGTCTGGGATCACCTCAGATGAAGTTCTTTGGAGATCCCTCCAACTGAACTGCTGATCTCAAAATGCCTGTCATGAAGAGACTATGTCAGCCAGTGGATTCTGAATAGATTTCATCGCGCTTGAAATGGCGACATTGGCAGCAACGCAGAACTGTTGAACTATTAAAACTCCTTGAGCAGGACCCTTGGAGTATGCCTCGCATTGGGGACCTGGGATGGGTGAGAGGCTGGGTGGGGCTTCTCTCTTTGTTTCTCCTCTGACTCCAGATACAGGGGCAAAAATGATATTAATCAGGAAACAATGGTCTTACCCACTTTCCTTTAGGCCTTGACCCTTTAAGCCATAATTAACTATGTAAGACTATCAAAATAAAAATAAATATTAAAAAGGAATATATTTGCAGCTAAACTTGCTTATGCATGCCAAGATTGTCCTGAGTGTTTTGTGTGTGGTGGCCATTTGGGAGTGAACCAATGGATGGAAGAGCTTTTTCTCAGATTCTCTTTGTGTAATGCTACCTTTCAAACAAATAATTAAATCTTAAAAAAGAGATGCCACTTGAATCTTGTTAAAGAAAGAAAATTTATGAGTGCAGATAAATTGTAGAAAAAGTATGCAATATTACACCACCTGCGAAAAGGGTCTGTGTAGTTTCGATTTATAATATAAAATAACTGCGTGTATTTTATTATGTCAAATCTTTCATGAAACATATAAATATATATACGTTTATACATTAGACATACATATATGTATATGTGGATATGCACATATGTATACCAACCACTAGTTTATGGAAAAATTCTCTGTATAAGAACTCAATACTTCATCTTCTGAGACATTATAGTGGCAATTTAAAAATAATTCACTTTGTACTCCAGAGTAGTGAATTATTTAAAATAGGTACAAGGTACTTTTATAATAAAAAACCTTCTTAGATTAAATATTGAGTGAATGTGGTAATTTCTACCTATGATGTTATGGGAGATGGGGGTAAGGAAGCCTCTTCAGTTTAGCTTTACAGCCTCTGAACTGGAAACCTTGAAAAACAGTTGAGAAGCAAAACAGTGTTGAAATGAACATTTAAAATCTCAAGTGTTTACAGGCTATCCATCTCTTATGGATGATCAATTAATGAATCACAAGAATTTATTGGGAGAGATACAGATAACCAGGAAGTGCAGAAATATAAGACTCACTGCAAAGATAGTTAGGTTTGACTCTACAAAGCTGCATGTTGAAACATGCAAGAATCATTCCATAGGAAGATGAGCAAAACAACCCTTAGTCATACCAACATCAAGATTTTTGATGGAAGTTATGTTGTATTAGAGCAAATATGTGTTATCTGATCTTTTGGGATTGGCTCATTTCCCTTAGCATGATGGCCCTCAGTTCAGCCAAATTGTCTGCAAATTATTGTATTTCATTATTTTTAATAGCCGAGTAGTACTCCATAGAATGAAAGAACCACAGTTTCTTTATCCAGTTCTCTGTTGTTGGGCATCTAGGTTGTTTCCATGTTTCTGCAATTGTTAATTGTGGTGCAATGAATACAGGGATGCATGTTATTTGTCATGTATCAGGTCCTTTGGATATATTCCTAGGAGTGCAATTACTGGGTTATATCCACCACAAGAGTCACTCACTGGCATCTATTCCTACAAGAAGGTTTTTGACTCCTGTTTTTACCATTCTTGTGATGCATTTTTATTTTAGTAACATGGTTTTTAACTTCACGTTGATGAAAACTTATTATTTTCATCTTGATGTGGGCTGTGTTCATTGATTCTGTAGGTTAGGCGATGTATAATGGAAATGTAGCAGGGACTGATATGTTCAGGTATAAAGACAAAGTGTTGTATATCACTATTCATACAGACCAGAGCTGGATTCCCAGTGGAAGACTCGAAACTATCCTAACAGTAACACGATGGATTCCCTGACACCATCCTTGCCTGCATTGTTGGGAAACACTTCAACAACACCACGATGGACTTGTCACTGTGCATGAAGGACATCCATTGTAAAACTAGAGGGGAAGTCAGTGTGGGGGAGAGAGGAAGGGGAATTTTGGGGAAGGGCATAGGCAACCCAAGAACCTATGGAACTTATAAAATATGTTAAAATAAAAAACAGTTTGGTACACATTACTTTTATAATAAGTGTATTTTAAATGCAGAAAGTTTTTAAAAGTGGGTATGATGTTTTTCTAATAATTATGTACTATGAAATAATAGTGTTTTTAAAACTAAATTGAAGATGTTGTGATTTTTTAAAGATTTATTTATTTTTATTACAAAGGCAGATATACAGAGAGGAGGAGAGACAGAGAGAAATACCTTCCGTCCGATGATTCACTCCCCAACCGGCCGCAATGTTTGGAGCTGAGCCAGTCTGAAGCCAGGGGCCAGGAACTTCTTCCAGGTCTCCCATGCGGGTGCAGAGTCCCACGGCTTTGGACCATCCTCGACTGCATTCACAGGCCACAAGCAGGGAGCTGGATAGGAAGCAGGGCCACTGGGATTAGAACTGGCGCCCGTATGGGATCCTGGGCATGCAAGGCGAGGACCTTAACCACTACGCTATTGTGCTGGACTCAATGTTGTGATTTAATTACATTGATACGAACTACATCATCTGCTTTTGTTAACATTTTATCATAGAGGTGCTGTCTCATCTTATAAGCTAAGTCTTTTCTAACTTCCAGTAACTTAATTAAGATTTACTTTATTTCTCTAAGTAGGGTTGTTTATAATTAAAGTTTTAGTAATTAAACCTTTCACAGTAAATGAGATTTCAGCAAATGCAAAGTTGATAGCCATTTTACTGTATGTTGCTATTCAGTTGAGCATATTTTCTTGCAGGAAGATACCATGCTTCTTAACTCTAGGATGTTTGTCAAAAACAATTATCAGTTTGAAGCTGCATTGTTTTTTAAGAAAACATTTTAGTGTCAACCAGTAGTATTTTAACATTATGCTTAGGCATGGGATATACTGGGAAATAGAATGGCTAACGAATGCTGACATAAACATAGGCTAAAAAAAAGTATCACTTTCTTTGGGGGATTTGTTTTTCAGGTGCAGCTTTGAAGGTGTCAGCTGAGCAATTCACGGATGACCCCTGTTTTCTCCCAAAAAGGGAGGCTGTTGTTGAAGCTGCCCGTGCCCTGTTGGCTGCAGTCACCAGACTCCTTATCCTTGCGGACATGATTGATGTCATGTGTCTCTTGCAGCATGTGTCAGCTGTAAGTAAAAAAAATTGGACTAGTTTAACTTGGCATTGTATTCCTTTCTAATTCCATTCTCTGAACCTGGCATTAATCCTGTGGTGTATTCTGGGCTCATGCTTGTTTTTTAATATCACTCTTCAGGAGCTTGCCAAATTGGGATGTGAAGACTAATGTATGCTTCATAGAATGAATTCAAAAATGAGTCTTAAAGCCAGTGGAAAATCGGAGAACAAAATGTAGCTTACACATAACAAAGTGACTGAGAGAGGGTTATAGACTTTTGAACACTTAAATTGTTGTACCCCATATACTTATAAATAATAACAGGATAGTTATGTATATAATGTATAATAAATATATATATATATATGTGTGTGTGTGTATAAATAATTGGAGAAAGAAGTCTTCAAGCTTAAAATGCTTGGAAGTTTACCTTGGTTTGCAGATGAATGCCACTATGCCAGCCCCTTGTGTACTTAGCTGAGAAATATTGTGGCAAAGAAATCTGTGTAATGTGGTGTAAACTAGATTCCCCCAAATTGTTCTTACTCTATAATACATTAGTCTTGGAAGTTTCTAAGGCTGTACTTTGAGAAATACTTGTTTGGGATTTCTCTAATAATGCTTATGGTAATATTAAACTTCTGCTTGGAATCAGAATCATATTGGAAAAATTCCAGGACCTTTATATGTTACCTGAAGTAGAAAGCTTGTTTCCCAGAAAAAGATATATATGTACATGTAAATACACACATATGATTATCTATCTATAAATGGTCCTATATATGATCACTAATAATGAAAATGATCATAGTTTTGTGAGAATCTGAGCTGATTTTGAATAAGTGTAAATTATTGCAGACATCTTCCTCAAACTGAACTTAAAGTTATATCAGTGTTTTTTCCATTCACTACTTGTAGTTTTGCTTTTTGGGACAACACAGAATCAAGGCAATAATTAGGATATTTTTGAAATGATGAGTACTTTTGGCACTTAACTAGAACTTCCCTTATCTGGGATTAAAAGTTTCTTGAGCCTTGGATGTTCTTAATATAAAAGTTTCAGCTCTCTCTGAGCATTCTAGAACTTCTGCATATTTTTTCTTGACAATATCCCTTTTGAGTAATTTTTAGTTTCCTGCTGAAATCTGCAATCTTTATTTTGACCTATTTGAGTATAGTAAGCAGAGTTATCCCGTGTTCAGATTTGAAGAATCCTGTGCGTGAACTCTTTGAGTGCCTGTTTTAAACTATCATTTTCCTGGCTTTTGTTCACTCCTCTTACTTTGAACATTACATCTCCTACAACTCATCCTGGGACATTCCCCACTGTCTTGTTATCTCTTTGATATCTTTAACATGAAGTATTCATCAAACCTTATTTATTTCATTCAGTAGAGAATTGAATTGGATTACTAATTTTTTATGATAAGAAATAGAAATCTTCCAAATCATCTCAGCTAGTTCTTCTTTATGGATATTCTACATTTTAGCTAACTCCCATAAAATATTGCAACTAAAACCTCTTAAAATAAAAACAGACTCTTTGACCTGACTTTCCTGGAACATAACGAGATAATTATTTCTGTTGTTTAGTGTTTAATGTTACATTATCTATTACAGTAGTCTTATGCTGCTAATTCACATTAATTTATAAAATTGTTCATTTATTGGAAATAAAGAGTTATGGAGGGAGAGAAATGGGAGGGGGACTTCCATTCTCTGGTTCGCTCCCCAGATGATACAACAGCCAAAACTAGGAGCTTCTTCTAGTTCTTCTGAGGCTCAAGAATTTTTTTCAAAGACTTTGAAATTGGGATATATTTTTGCTGGCATTATGGGTTTCAGTGTAGTAACCTTGATACAGAGGAAATGAAGTCAGTTTGGCCATAATTCATAATTCGGTAAAAGCTCTCAGTGACCATTGTTTTCTTGACTTCATTGTATTTCTTTTTTTCTGAACTTCATTTTTTACTTGCTCATAAGCTTCTGATCAAAAATGACTTGTCTGCATATAATTTCCTTACCATTATGATCAGGCATGCCTGTACTCTCATTCCGTGTTCTGTGAGGTCTTTTTCCCAGTGTTCTTCCCAGGACTTCTGCCAGTTCTCTGAGGGCTCGCGTTCTCTGGGTTACCTCTGACTACAAATTTTTGCTTCCACTGAAAGGTCTTCATATATAATTTCTTCTTCTTCTTTTTTTGCATTAGGTTAATCCAGCCAGGACTCAAGCTGGTACACTAAATGGAATACTGGTGTTTGGGGCAGAGGCTTTACTTACCAAGCCACAATGCCAGCCCCCCAAATAATGTTTCTTATTGTGTATATTCATACTTCTTTCTAGAAAAGTGGGCTATAATTTTATTTCTTGACCCTGTCCTCCAAATAAGACCTAATTCTTGTCATTAAAAATTACTTTATTCTTGATTATTATTATTATTTGTTGATATACATTATGCATTGTATTTATGAGATGGGAATGTAAATTAGTACAACCATTATGGAAAACAGTATGAGGGCTCTTCCAAAAGCTCCTGAAAAATGGAATAAAAAGATAAATTGAATACTACTGAAAAAACAAATCTGTACATGGTTTTATTGTAATATACAGTTTTGATAAACTTTCTGAAATGCCCTTGAATGGAGATATCTTAAAAATCTGAAAATAGAATTGCCATGTAATCCAGCTAACATGCTTCTGAATATTTGCCTTACTTTTACTATAAGGTGCCAGCTTCTGGTTTTCTTTTCTTTTCTCTATCTTTTTATAAAGCAGAGTTACAGAGAGAGAGAGAGAGAGAGAGAGAGAGAGGGAGAGAGAGAGAGAGAGAGAGACAGAAGGGAAAAAGAGAAAGAGAGATGAAAGAGATAGATAGATAGAGAGAGATAGAGAGAGAGAAAAGCTCTTCCATGCTCTGGTTCCCTGTCCAAATGGCTGCATCAGTTATGGCTGTTACATCATCAGGATGTCCCATATGTGGTGGCAGAAGCCCAGTCACTTGCAACATTTCCACTGCTTTCTTGAGTGCGTTAGGGAGATGGACTGAAATTGGAGCATCCTGGGGCTGACACAGTGCTGTAGGAGGCTAATCCTCTGCCTGTGGCAGTGGCATCCTGTATGGGTGCCAGCTGTTCTATCTCCTGATCAAGTTCCTTTCTTATGGGTTGGGAAAGCAGCAGAGGGTGGCTTAACAAAAATGATATTATGAGTTTTATTAATTATAAAAATATGGAATGGCAATTTGATTATGTTGCCACGAAAAACTCATAATTTTAATAGTAATTTAATGTGATTTTTCTCTTGTGGATAATGTTAAGGTTTTCAAATTTCTACACACCGTTTATACTTTCAGAATTCCACATCTCATTTTGTTGGCATTTGGAATTTATATAAGTTAATTTTATTTGGGGAAAAATTGGCCTGGATGTCTCCTGCTTCATTTATGAGTCAGGATAATGTAAAAAAGTAAATAGAGCTTTTGCCAGGAGGGAGAGCATGCTTGGATCCTACTCTGTTGAATAACTAGGTCACTTGAAAAGACATGAGTTACAGAGAGAAGAAAACTTAGTCCTGATGCTTTGAAAGATCCCTGTGGAGATTACATGATATAATATATGAATCATCTGTAAATATAAGTTCTCTTTTATCTTCCTTTTCTTGTTTCCCTTTTCTCCTAAAAATGAAAAGAATAAATTTGATCCATGTTCAGAACTAAGTTTTCCAACCTTTTATGTTTACAATACTATTGCGAGATTTTATTTTTTATTAGATTTTAATTTTTATCAATGCAAACAACAGTTTTTATGTATTCCATAGGAACATTTCCAAGAAGACAACCACATTTCCTTCTCACCCCTGATGCTCCAATCTTCTTTCCTCTCACCCTCTCTTTTTTCCTTTCATCAATTTTTTTCAGACATAATTTTAATCCGCTCTGTGTTCACAGGTTGAATTTATTAGTAATCATGATAATCAACAAATAAAAGTAGGAAGACCACAGTTCCACAGGTATATAAACAAGGGCTAAAAATGGCAATCGTATCTCAACATTTCTATTTCGTTAATTTGTGTGTGTGTGTGTGTGTGTTTTACCAACTATTGCTTATCAGAGAAAACATGTCTTTTTGAGACTGGCTTATTTCAGCAACGATAATATATTTTAATTGCATCAATTTTGTTGCAAAAGACGGGATTTCTTTTGTATTTTCTTTTTATGGCCAAGTAGTATTAAGTAGTGTATATGTGCCATATTTTCTTTAGCCAGTCATTGTTTGATGGATATTTGGGTTGATTCCATTTCTTGGCTGTTGTGATTTGAGCTGCAAAGACACGTGCTCTCCTTCATAGGGTTAAGTTAGCATCTGACTCCTGGCTAGTGATGCAGGCCAAACTCAGTAAGTGGGGTCCATAACGTTCTCCCTCAGGTAGTACCAACAGTGACAAGGGGTGTGCAGTTTCTTGTCACCTCACTCCTAGGAGATGGGATTTCCTCCAGCCCCCAACTGTGACAGTCAGAGGTGGAGTCCACACTGGCTGCTGAGTGTTTGTATTGTCCATATTGCTTTTGTCCATGCAATAGCTTCTTTCTTTCTATAGAATATCTACTGCAAACTTCCCTCCAACTCTTCCCTGGGATTGTATTTCCTCTGCTTTTCCTCTGTTTTCTCCCCAGGGTCAAACTCAACATGTGTCTTCCCTATGTAGCTATCTTGTATTCTCTTATTGTTTTGTCTATTGATGTTTTGGATTAGGTTGTTGGCTGGTTTCACGTGATTCAGAAAATGTATGCAGTGTTTAATAACTATGTCATACACTTATAAGCATACTTATATACTTATTTGATGTTTTCCCAGGCCATAAGAAAGGAGCTGGATGGGAAGTGCAGCAGTCAGGGCATGAACTGTTGTTCATATCAGGTCCTGGCACTTACACAGTGAAGACTTAGCTATTGTGTCATTGTGTCAAGCCAACATAGGAAGCTTTTGAACCTTGACAGCAGTGTGCCCCTTTTC